ACCATTTCATTTTTCATCCCTAATGCACAAGGATATGGCTATATAGAAAAAGATCACATAAGTTATCCAAGTTTTATCCCACAACTAAATGATATAAACTTCAGCTTTCTGCTATTCTGCAGAACACGAAAATGAGCTTTCTTTCCATAGAAAGATGATCAGGTTTCGTCAAGTTTTTGATATTGTATTCTTGTTAGAAAACTACATGGATTTGGCTAAAATGCGTGCATCTATCATTACTGTTCAAATTTTCATTGAATTCTACAGAAAAAGCTTATTAGATATATTAATAAATCCTGAAAAAAAGATCTAAATATAAAGATATGTATAAAAGATCACGAATTCTTTTCGCTATCTGGCTGAAATGCTTCTAAAATGTGAAGAAATGTGACACAAAATTTTGCTCGATTGTCTATCCTTTGTTTATCTTTTGATTTATACACCAGGCTGTCGCGTGAGTTGATTTCGTTTTTTATTCAAAAATAAAAAGTCAATCGGTTCACATTCCGCTCATGTGATGATAAAGAACGGAAGAGAATGCTCCTTTATTATGTCATGTGTAGAGTTCATTTCTTCTCCAATTTTAGGAGAAAAGTCGATCAGTCTGTCTGTCACTCTCTCTTTATCTCTCTCTCGCTGTTGTAGTATATAAATAGCGTGGACTGCCAAAATAGATTTAACTAAATTAACATTTAACAAGTTAAGATCGTCGATAACATATACAACAATCTTCGTTTTCAATTTTAACAATAACATACAATAATGAGTGAACATTTAAACAAAGATGGCAATCCAGACATGCGTTTCAAAGAAAATCGTGATGCTGACAGTAATAATCAAACGTTAGATTGATTCTATTTCTTTTGTAGGACAATGTTGTCTTTGTTTTTTTAGGTGATAATAACAGTTCCACACGAAATAGATCATCGACAGATGATGACAAACCAGATACGCGTAACAAGTCAAGTCGTGAAGGTGATTATCTTCTATAAATCGATTTTACTTGTTAGAATCGTATTCTTACTCTTGTATTAGGTAGTGACAATGACGGTACAGACGATGGTAGAAGTGGTATTCATCATCATCCAAAACATGCCAGTAACTATGCCGGTGAGTTTCTCGGTTTCCGAATCCATTTTGAAATCTTTAGTTGCGTGTTTTTTCACCTATAGGAGATGATACGGACAGAAGTGGTCATCATTTAACAAAAGAAGGAAATCCGGATTTGCGATTCAAAGAGAATCGTGATGAAATGGAACAAGAAGATTCAAATGAAAGTGACAAGCGTGGTAGTGATCGACGTGCAAAATGATGAAGAACTGGACAAGCGCTACAAGGAAAACCGTCGATCATCCAACTAAGAAAAAAACATTTTTCTCTCGCTCTTTTATTTATCCTTGCCATATAAATATTTCTTCCCTCTATTTTTTTCATAGCCTCTGTGTGTGTGTGAAGTTAAATAATTTTCTCTTTTGTTTGTGTATTATCTGGATTGGAACAAAATAAAAGCAATAATCAAAAAAGAAAGGATTAGTTATTTTGTGATCAAATGAACCTGTGACCTGCTGCCATTATAAGAAACAGTTGTTGTTATCTTAATTCGATGCTGTTTTATTCATATCCGCTTATATATTCTTATGATGAAAACGAGTAGAGGAAGCAACAATCTTTAGTCTTCTTTTTCTTTGTAATTTGCAGATTTATACAACGAGTCATTATGGAATTTCGAAACATATATCATCCGACTCAGTCTTCGATGCTGATGTCGAATATGATATGTTTATTGCATAAAAAGTGAGTTCTCATTAAGACAATACAGAATTGCAGACAAAATTCTGATTTTTTCGCTCGTGATGTAGAAAAAATGTATTCTCTTAGATATAAAACAAAATAAAAGAAAAGGGCGATCGGCACTTTTAAAGCTCGCTTAATGGCGGTTCCGACGAATATAAATAAGTCATAAGGAAAATGATAAAATAACACAAAAAGGGGGGTGCTTTAAATGGGGTTCGTAACAAACAGACAAAAAGATCAGTCAACTTTTTTTTGGTAAAATTTGAAATCAACCGTTTTCTTGCGCAGTTTCTGGTGCTCTTTCCATTGATATGTCAAAAGAAAAATTTCATTTATTCATCTGTTTTATTCATATCCGCTTATATATTGTTATGATGAAAACGAGTAGAGGAAGCAACAATCTTTAGTCTTCTTTTTCCTTGTAATTTGCAGATTTCCTTATCCGCCATCTTGAATTTTTAAGTGCTGAAAGGTACTAGAAAGTGCCGAAACGTGCTAGAAAGTGCTATCCATAAGAAGTGTTTTTTCCCCCTTGACAATTTGTCCCCTATAGAGATCAAAAAACCTAAAGTACAAAGATTTTATTCTTCAGAAAACTGAAGATTCTACTTCTGTAATTCTTTGGAGAACACATATATGATCTCTATATGGGACAAATGTAGATCCTTTTGTTTTGTTTTTTGAAGAACACAAATTTTTAACAGTGTAGTCCATTTTCTAATCGCTCATTAGAGTATCTTCTTTTATTTAATCCCATCTGAATATTGACCTACGAGAAAATAAGGAATCAATTTTCAAAATGAGAAAAGGCTAATGTTTCTTCTTTGGTCGTACACTTAAAAGAGAGAGGTATGGCTTTTTGATAGTGAATTTAACTGTCCTTGGATTTTTTCCTAATATTATTAGTTATTGAATAAAGGTGTCCTTAACCTTGATATTAACGTACCCGTTGCACAGTGGGCATTTAGGCGGCATTTTGGTGAAAAATCGCAGGTTCGAACTTTTATATTTTGAATGATGACATATCTACTATAAATAATGCCCTACTTAACGGTGAAAAGTTTTTGACTCTAGCTTCTTCCAAATTTGAGAAAATTAAATTACACAATTATCAGTAGAATTAGCATGCTGGCGCGTAAAATTGCATTTTCTCCGTTAAATTGTAAGTTTTTTTTCAAAAACAATGATATATTTAGAATCGCCAGCTGTTGGGCTATCTAGTCTTAAGAAAATTTTCATCGGACAAAGTTAAATTTTGGGGAACGCGCGAAGATCTTTCGACGGAACTCACCTAAAAAAAAGACGTCCTCATAAAAATGCAATCGCTAAACACCGCTGAGCAGCTATTGATATGAAAAATAGCTCAAAGTGTTCGTCTCAACCTCCTCTACACATACTGATCTCACAAAGTCTCCCAACTCTAGGGGTGCCCAGTTACAGGCTTTCCAAAAACCCTGGGAATTTTCGAGTATTTCTTAGTTTTCTCCCTCAAAAAAGCACTTTTTCTTGAAAGTAAGGTCATATTCGGAATCAGCGTGAAAAACTGCATCGAATGGTGTATTAACTCATCTTTCGATCGCTCGATTTTGAATTCTAGAAATTTCTTAGTTTTTGAGATTTACACAAACAATTTCGTGCTGAAAATTTGAATTTCAAGATAAAGTAACCTGAACGACTCGAAACATGTTTCTTATAGGTTTTCG